GGCTACCGTGAGCCGTGATCACATTACCGCACTCTAGCCTGGGAGACAGAGCTGTCATGTGATGATTAGCAATGCTAGTAGACACTTACCTTTGTTGACCCAAAAAGGTTACTGTTAAATGAACACCGCAGGTTACAAAGCAGCATGTATAGGATGTTTCTGTTTTTGGAGATCTGCCATATCTGTTTTTGTATATGTGTACAGAAAGCTTTGGAATTATAGATAATAACATGTTGATAATGATTATGTCATAGATTTAAAAATTTCAGTTATTTATTAGGGGGACATAATGTAACTGTCTTTATTTCTCTATAACTGAATGCATTTTGGCTCATGAGCCTTCAAAACATATTATTTCCATTTCAGAGTAACTCATTCCTTTCTTAATACTCAGCCTCTCTTGGCTGACTAACCACTGACTCCTACTTCCCCTTTCCCTGGGAATATTTACAGATTGCCCTGTGGTGAGCAGAAGCATGGGGTACCAAGTGTTTCCTGGCCCTCCTGGTCTCCCTGCGTGTCTTTCGTCTTGCCTGATTGTCATCTTCTTGTGCCATCATTGCTACATGTCTGATTTCTGCTCATCTCAAGATCCACTAAATCTGCCACAGATTCATGCCCAACCATGGGCTCTTATGGGTGCACCATCTTGTTCAGAGCCAATTCTGCCTGCTTCTAAGTCCATGGGTTGCAGTTGCTCTTCTGTAGCCACATCATGCTGGGGACAGGCCGGCTGCCTAGCTCCATCCTCACCCTTTCTGATGTCCTGTGAGAGGCAGGCTTCTCTTAGAAGCCCACACCCTGGAAAGTGAAGAATAAGTTCCCTCCTCTTGGGCTATAATCCCTCCTGGGACTTCTCTTCCCCCGCCTTCCTAAGGGCAGGGGTACAGGCTGTTGGACACTTCTCAGGGACCCTTGGAGTCTCAAGTGTAGCCACCTCCTGCCAATTTTTGTCCCCCTACCAGCCAGTCAACTCTTTTTAAAAAATAATTAATTAATTAATTAATTTTGAGATAGGATCTCTGTTACCCAGGGACAGTGGTATCATCATGGCCCACTGCCGACTTGACCACCCGGATTCAAGTGATCCTCTCACCTCCTGAATAGCTAGGACCACAGATACACGCCATCACGCCCAGCTAATTTTTGTATCATTTTTTTTTTTCTTTGAGATAGAGTGTTGCTCTTGTTGCCCAGGCTGGAGTGCAGTGGTGCGATTTTGGCTCCCCGCAACCTCTTGTCTCCTGTGTTCAAGTGATTCTCCTGCCTCAGCTGCCTGAGTAGCTGGGAATACAGGCGTGTGCCACCACATGTGGCTGATTTTGTATTTTTTTTTTTTTTGAGATGAAGTCTTGCTCTTGTCACCCAGGCTGGAGTGCAGTGGCACAGTCTTGGCTTACTGCAGCCTCCGCCTCCTGCGTTCAAGTGATTCTCCTGCATCAGCCTCCTGAGTAGCTGGGATTACAGGCGCCTGCCACCACTCCTGGCTAATGCTTGTATTTTTAGTAGAGACAGGGTTTTATCATGTTGGCTAGGCTGGTCTCAAATTCTTGACTTTGCGATCTGTCTGCCTTGGCCTCCCAAAATGCTGGGATTACAGGCATAAGCCATCATGCCCGGCCCTAATGTTGTATATATATATGTTTTTTAGTAGATAACGGGGTTTCACCATGTTGGTCAGGCTGATCTCAGTTCTCTGCAACCTCCGCCTCCCGGGTTCAAGTGATTCTCCTGGCTCAGCCTCCCAAGTAGTTGGGATTACAGGTGCCTACCACCATGCCTAGCTAATTTTTGTATTTTTAGTAGAGATGGGGTGTCACCATGTTAGCCAGGATGGTCTCAATCCGCTGACCTCGTGATCTGCCCACCTCGGCCTCCCGAAGTGCTGGGATTATAAGTGTGAGCTACCGTGCCCGGCCAAGTTTTTTTTATTTTTTATAGAGATAGAGTTTTGCCATGTTGCCCAGGCTAGTCTTGAACTCCTGGGCTCAAGTGATCACCCACCTCGGCCTCCCAAAGTCTGTCAACTCTTGACCTCCTTTTGAGTAAAGCCTTCTTTTTCATTCTCAGGCACTCATTACTACTCTTATTTTTAGGATAAACTATTAATGCCTCCCCTTCTTCAAATATTGGCTTTTCATTGTCCCAATCAAGCTTTTTAATTTATTATTTATTTATTATTATTTTTTAGACAGGGTCTCTCACCCTCTCCCCAGCTGGAGTGCAGTGGTGCGATCTCGGCTCACTGCAACCTCCACCTCCTGGGTTCAAGCGAGAATCCTGCCTCAGCCTCCTGAATAGCTGGGATTACAGGTGCCTGCCACCATGTCCAGCTATTTTTTGTATTTTTAGTAGAGATGGGATTTCGCCATGTTTCGCCTGCCCCGGCTTCCCAAAGTGCTGGGATTACAGGCTTGAGCCACCGCGCCGGCCTTTTATTTTTATTTTTTAAAATTTAAAACACACTTTTCCTCAGAGAGTTGCATTTTGTAATTGAAACAATGGCTTTAAAGACAGTAGTTAGCAGGCTGGGTGCGGTGGTTCAAGCCTGTAATCCCAGCACGTTGGGAGGCTGAGGTGGGCGGATCATGAAGTCAGGAGTTCGAGACCAGCCTGACCAACATGGTGAAACCCCGTCTCTACTAAAAATACAAAAATTAGCCAGGTGTGGTGGCACACCCCTGAATTCCCAGCTACTTGGGCAGCTGAGGGAGGAGAATTGTCTGAACCAGGGACGAGGAGGTTGCAGTAAGCTGAGATTGTGCCACTGCACTGCATACACTCCAGCCTAGCAGACACAGTGAGACTCCATCACAAAAGCAAAGAAACAAAAAAGACAGGTGTATGATAGAATATGTTAGGAATAATAATTATAATAATAAAAAAAGACGGTAGTTAGCTATAGTTTACAAACATCTACTTAAAAGTTAAAATCCAGGAGCCAATGACTTGTGTATCTCATCCGTAGCCCAAGAGCAGAATGCATAGACAGCTTTTGCTGGTGCTTGAATGGTGGAGGTGTGTAGAGCCAGAGGGTGCCGGGAGAGGACTGAAAAAGCCCCAAGCTCAGTGTCAAAATACACATCCAGCAATAGCTCTTTCCCGGGCTTGGAGGGATTGAGAAAGAGAAAGAAAGAAAGAGAGAAGGAGAGGAGAGAAGGGAAGGAAGGAAGGAAGGAATGGAAAGAGAAAGAAAGAAAGACGCTACAGACAAAAAGAGTGGAAATCTTTCTTTCTCTCTCTCTTTTTCTTTCTTTCTCTTTCTTCTTTCTTTTCTTTCCTCCTCCCCTCCCCTCCCCTCCCCTCCCCTCTCCTTTGGATACAGTTTTACTCTTGTTGCCCAGGCTAAACTGCAATGGCGCAATCTCAGCTCAATGCCACCCCTACCTCTCCAGTTCAAGCCTCTTGCCTCAGCCTCCCGAGTAGCTGGGATTACAGGCATGCACCACCACACCCTGCTAATTTTGTATTTTTAATAGAGACAGGGTTGCTCCATGTTGGTCAGGCTGGTCTTGAACTCCTGACTTCAGACGATTCACCCACCTTGGCCTCCCAAAGTGCTGGGATTACAAGCGTGAGCCACTGTGCCCCAATGTATTTCTTTTATAATAAGAAATATGACAAAAGTTCTTTTACAAATAAAGGGACGCTTGCAGGCATTGCAGTCCTTAAGGCTAAGGCTTATTTAGCTTTTTGTTTATTTTTAGGTTTTTGGTGTCCTTACGACCTCACCTCATCCGAGTGAGTAGAGACTGGGAGGGGAGAGCAGTAGCTGGAGGGCAGGCGGGGAGCACTTGTGAGGGAGAGGAGCTGTGGACATCCACTTCTCTGCCACGGGAGAGAGTGAGGCAGGCTGTGGCCCGCTGACTTCAGGGTGAGGCCACAGCTACTGCAGCACTTCTTTTTTTTTTTTTTTTTTAAGGAAGAGTCTTGCTGTGTCACCCCGGCTGCAGTGCAGTGCAGTGGCACGATCTTGGCTCACTGCAACCTCCACCCCTCCCAGATTCAAGCGATTCTCCTGCCTTAGCCTCCTAAGTAGCTGGAACTACAGTCACCTACCACCACGCCTGGCTAATTTTTGTATTTTTAGTAGAGACGGGGTTTCACTGTGTTGGCCAGGCTGGTCTTGAACTGCTGACCTTGTGATCCCCCTGCCTTGGCCTCCCAAAGTGCTGGGATTACAGGCATGAGCCACTGTGACTAGCCAGCACTTCATTCATTCATTCATTCATTCATTCATTCATTCATTCATTCACTGAGATAGAGTATTGCTCTATTGCCCAGGCTGGAGTGCAGTGGTGTGATTTCAGATCACTGCAACCTCCCCTCCTGGGTTCAAGCAATTCTCCCGCCTCAGCCTTTTGAGTAGCTGGGATTATAGGCATGCACAACCATGCTTGGCTAATTTTTTGCATTTTTAAGTAGAGACAGGGTTTCACCATGTTGCTCAGGCTGGTGTTTAATTCCTGACCTCAAGTGATCCTCTTGCGTTGGCCTCCCAAAGTACTGGGATTACAGGCGTGAGCCACGGTGCCCGGCCATACTGC